ATGGTCCTTTATTTCTCTAAGGCTATTAATGACCATATTTTTTTCCTCCATGGTGCTTTATTGGGTTTGTTTATTCGTTTCGTTCATTCTCTTTTATGTTAGAGGCTTTCTTCAGCTGTTCCATGAATCCTTGATTGTCTAAAAAGCCTGGTGGAAGCTGTGACTTATGAGTAGGGCTTATCCATTGAGGGCTTCCCTGTAGGGTTATCTGGCTGGGTTGTTTCATTGGGGAACCCCAAATGTCAGAATCTTTAGGTCATTCCTCCTGGGATGGTCATGCTTCCCTGAGAAGGATCCTCCCTTTTACTGCCTGGAGGGAGAAGGCCTAGCTTCTGGCATTCTGGGAACTGAGTTGGGATTCCCAGCTTCAGCGCCAAGCCTACGCCCTGCACTGCGGGGATGAACTTCCAGTCTTCTCTCAGCGGGAGAGAGGGGTCCTTGGGGAGAGAGAGGATGCAAGTATCCAACTATTTCATAAACAGACTTCCAAGTAATCCTCCTCTTCTTGGCCCTACCTTTACTCCCACCTACATGCCTAATACCCCAATTCCTGAGCTTGTTCTGACACAGAAATAGGTGGTTTCTCAACTTTTCTTGCTGCAGGTTTAGGATACAGCTTTCTGGGGCCTGCTAAGGGAGTAACCTCTAGTCCACCTGCTTTCCAGATCCCAAAGTTCTGCTTCTGTTTTTCATCTCCTGTTCTCTTTGTCCTTATAGATTTACACTTAAACAAACAAATAACCCCATAAGTCTTTGTCATTTAGTTACAGAAGCAAAGCAGGAGAGGAAGCCAAGATATATGTGTATTGTAACCATCATTACCAAGAAATCTTTTTCTAAAGTGAGCTATAATTCAAGTATCATAATATTCAAGCTTTTAAAATTGTACAAGTCAATGATTTTCTGTATATTCACAAAGTTGTGCCCCCATCACCATTATATAATTCCAGAATATTTTCATCACCCTAGAAGGAAACCCCATGCCCATTAGCAATCATTCTCCATCCCCTTCTCCCCACAACCCTTGACAACCGCTAATTTACTTTTTGTCTCTATAGATTCGTCTATGCTAGATATTTTACAAAAATGGAATCAAACAATATGTGGCCTTTTGTGTCTAGATTATTTCACTTAGCATAATGTTTTCAAAATTTATTTTGTGGCATGCATAGGTACTTCATTCCTTTTAAAAATATTTTATTGAGATATTAACTCCTCTTTATGGCTAATAATATTCCATTATATTGATATACCACATTCTGTTTACCTACTCATCAGTTGACGGATATTTGAGTTGTTTCACTTGGGCTATTATGAATATTGTTGCAATGAACATTTGTAATTTTTGTGTGGATGTATGTTTTCATTTCTATTTGTAGATATCTAGGAGTGGAATTACTGTGTTGTATGGTAACTCTGTGTTTAACTTTTTGAGGAATTGTCAAATTGTTTTCCAAAGTAGTTGTACCATTTTACACTTCCGCCAGTAATATATGAGGGTTCCAACTTCCACACATCCTTACCAACACTTGTTTTTGTCTTCATTATAGCCCTTACAGTGGGTGTGAAGTGGTACCTCATTGTGGCTTTAGTTTGCATTTCCCTATTGACTAATGATGCTGAGCATCTTATCATGTGCTTAGTGACCATTTGTGTATCTTCTTTGGAGAAATGTCTATTCAAACCCTTTGTCCATTTGAGATTGGGTTGTCTTTTTATTGTTGGGTTCCAAATACTTTCTCCTATTTTTGGACTGACTTTTCAACTCTCTTGATAGTGTACTTTGAAGAACAACTTCCTATTTTTCTTTGTTGCTTATGTTTTAAGTCATCTTTTTAAAAGATCTTACTTTTAAAACAGCTTTACTGAGGTATGATCGACACATAGTAAACTTTATGTATTTGAAGTGTACAACTTGGTAAACTTTGACATATGCATACATCATGGAAACAGCCTCACAATCACAATAATGAACATAGCCATAACATCCAGCAGTTTTGCTGTGCCCCTTTGTCATCCCTCTCTCGTCCCTTCCTGCACCACACTCCCTCAGTCCTCAGGCAACTACTCATCGTTTCTATCACTGTAAATTAGTTTGCATTTCCTAAATATTATCTAAATGGAATCATACAGTATATAGTCTTTAGTTTGGCTTCTTTCATAAGCATAATCGAGATTCGTGCAGGTATGGATATCAGCAGTTCACTCCTTTTTATTGCTGAGCAACGTTCCATTGTATGGATGAACCACAGTTTGCTTATCCAGTGTGTACTGATGGATATTTTGGTTGTTTCCAGTTTGGGGCCATTCCCAGTAAAGCTGCTATGAACATTCACGCACAAGTTTGTGTGGCTATATGATTTCATTTGTCTTGATCATCCAGAAAATATTTTTTAAAATTATAGTTGGCATACAATATTATATTAGTTTCAGGTGTACAACATAGTGATTTGACATTTACATATGTTACAATGCACTCACCATACTAAGTGTAGTAGCCATCTGTCACCATGCAAAGTTATCAGGCTATTATTGACAATATTCCTCTTCGGCTTTTCACCCTTCCCTCCACCCACCACCCCTTTGGCAACTATCAGTATGTTCTTTGTTTTTATGAGTCTGTTTTTGTTTTGTTTGTTCATTTGTTTAGATTTTTTAAAAAATTCCACATATAAGTGAAATCATGTATTTGTCTTTTTCTGAGTTATTTCACTTAGCATACCCTCTATGTTCATCCATGTTGTTGCAAATGGCAGGATCTTTTTTATTGCTGAGTGTTATTCCCGTGTGTGTGTGTGTGTGTGTGTGTGTGTGTGTGTGTGTGTGTGTGTGTGTCTTGCATCTTCTTTATTCATTCATCTATTGATGGACCCCTAGGTTGCTTCCATATCTTGACTATTGTAACTAGTGCTGCAGTGAACATAGGGGTGCATATATCTTTTTAAATCAGTATTTTTATTTTTTTCAGGTAAAAACCTAGAAATGGAATTGCCAGGTCATGTGGTAGTTCTATTTTTAGTTTTTGACGACTTTCCATACTGCTTTCTATAGTGGCTGTGCCAATTTGCAGTCCCACCAACAGTGCACAAGGATATTCCCTTTTTCCCACATCCTTGTCAACACTTGTTTTTTGTTGACTTTTTGATAGTAATTATTCTGACAAGTGTTAAGGTGATATGCCTCATTGTGCTTGTGATTTGTATTTCCCTGATGATTAGTGAAGTTGAGCAGCTTTTCATGTGTCTGTTGGCCATATGTATGTCTTTGGAGAAATGTCTCTCTCTTCATGTTTCCTGCCCATTTTTCATTGGACTATTTTTTTGTTATCGAGTTGTATGAGTTCCTTATATATTCTGGATATCAGCCCCCTTATTGGATTTATCATTTACAATCATATTCTTCCATTCAGTAGGTTATCTTTTTGTTGTGTTGATGGTTTTCTTTGCTATGCCAGAAGCCTTTTAGTTTGATGAAGTTCCATTTTTTTAATTTTTGCTTTTGTTTCTCTTGCTGGAGGGGACATATCCAAAAAGATATTACTAAGACTGATTTCAAATAATTTACTACCTATGTTTTCTTAGTTTTATGGTTTCAGGTCTTACATTAAGTCTTTAATACATTGTAAGTTTATTTTCGTATATATTGTAAGAGAGTGGTCCAGTTTCATTTTTTTGCATCTGCTCAGTTTTCCTAACACCACTTGTTGAAGGGACTGTCATTTCTCCATTGTATATTCTTGCCTCCTGTGTTGTAGCTCAATTGACTATATAAGCGAGAGTTTATTTCTGGGCTCTCTATCTGTTCCATTGATGTATGTGTCTGTTTTTGTGTCAGTACTGTGCTGTTATGATTATTATAGCTTAGTATGGTTTGCAATCAGGGCAGAAAATACCTTAATAGTAAATATTTGAATAATAACAATTTCTTGAGCATCTCCTGTGGTACTAGGTTCTATTCTAAATGCTTATTTAATCTAACAACTCTTCAAATTTAGTATTATTGTCCTTACTTTACAAAGGAGAAAACCAACTCAGAAAGGTCGAGGGACTGGCTCAGGTCATACAGCCACGATGTTTCTGACTTGGTGTTTGAACTAAGGTCTGAGTGCATCAAAGGCCATATCTGCTCTTCTTCCTCCCTCCCCCCAAATATATATACTATCTATCTCCCTTAACTCTTGAAATTTAAAAATCACTGACTCTTAGAATCACAGTCTTTAACAAAAATTATTAATGCAAATTTAAACATACAGATTTAAGATTAGTAAAACAAACATGGCATTTAAGACATAGTAAGAAATAAAACCTTGCCAACAGTTAAACTTACCCTTTGCCAGTCCCTCCTCCTTCCCTCCCTGTAGAGGCCCCCACTCTTCCTGAATTGGAACCACCCAAGTTGAGCATCAGGAGGCAGAAAGATAAAGTGGTTAAAAACATAGATTCCACCGATTCCTGGATGTATGATCCTGGACAAGCAAGTAGCCTCTCAAAGCCTCCGTGTCCTTATTTGTAACTGGAGATGATAAAATAAAAGTCTTCAAAGGATCACTGTAAAGATTAAACAAAATAAAGCATGTAAACAGCACAGGGCCTGGCACAAAGGAGGGTTTACTACATGATGGTAAATATTGGTACCAGAGCCTTAGAACCATGGACTCAGCTTCATAAAATGCTCAAGTTAGAAGGGAGCAGAGGGAACACTGAACCCAACTTTCCTCCCCTGTTTTTGAGATGAAGCCAGAGAGGAGGGGGACTTGTCTAAGTAACAGAGGGCAAGCAGCTCTTTTCTGCATCCACTCATCTGTGTGTGAAAAAGGGAGACAAACAAAGGCATTTTCTGCTTCAAAGTGATTTCCTGTCTAGGGAATGAACATTTCTTGAATATCCAAAGAGCCTTATGAATCCAAAGGTCTACCCAGAAACAAGTGATGAGGGCCATGGGCAGCCAATGGATGTGTACTGGCCTTTCTACCTGCCTGGGGAGCTCCCCCTCCCCATCTTGTCCCATCGAAGTCTGCTTAGCCCAAGTCTGGGTATTTCCAGCTTTGTGGCTTTCACTTCCACTTCTACCAGGTGAGAGGAGTGGCCTCTTGTGGACGAATCAGATTCCTTCTCAACCCCAACTTCAAGAGGTGAGCCAGCAGTTCAGCATCTCAGATACGAAGAGAGCAGCGGCAGCAGCAGTAGCAGCAGCAGTGGTAGCAAGAGGTGTGGGGAGAACCAGAGGCCAGAACGATGGAAGACCAGCGAGACCTCATCTCCAACCACGAGCAACTGCCCATGCTGGGCCAGCGGCCCGGAGCCCCAGAGAGGTATGTGTGAACAGGAGAGAGCACACGAATCCTGGACGGCACAGACGGCACAGGTGCCGGGGAAGGAAACCTATACTGGAGTCACAGGAGGCAAGAAGTCAGGCTCTGACTCTAACCCTAACTGGGTGGGTCTGAGCGAGTCTCTGGGCTGCCCTGGGCTTCGGTGCTCCCTCCCGTAAAATGAGGGAGTTTCTCTAGGGCAGGGTTTTTAACTTTCTCTGCATCATATACTTGCCTTCTGGAAATCAGAAGAGGGCTCTCGACTCTCCCCAGAGTTTCATACAATATCAGGGGCTTCATGGATGCCCCCGTGAAAAAGCATCGCAGGAGAATTCCCTCCTAATAACTATGGATGGGAATAGGTGTTTTGTTTGTTTGTTTAAATTTATTTTTTATGGTGACATTGGTTAATGAACTTAATGTTTCATCTGTACACTTTAACAGTAAGGCATATATATATTTACACTGTGTGTTCACCTCGTATAGTTAGATTTCTTTCTGTCACCACATTTTTGACCCCCTTTTACCCCGTCTACCTCCCCAGTCCCCTGGGAATAGGTGTTTCTATGAAGGCAGTTATTGCTGCGGGCGTCTATGGAATATATGAGACGTCAGCCATCACAGGAGGGATTGAGAGATGGTGAAAGGGGGTTAATAAAGGGCAAGTAGGGCTCTGGCTAAATTTCTAGAAGGGGCTGATGGTTGATGTGGGTCATGTTCTGCCTGTGCCCTCTTCCTTGCAGCTGGGCCAGCACAGCCATCCAGAGAACCCTGGGCCCCCTCTCCTAGCCACCCTCTCCTAGCTCCTAGATGGCCTCACCTGTGTTTCCCTGGAAAAAAAAAAAAAAAAGGAGGGGGACTATATGCTGTTAACCCAATGTTCCTCACTTCCCCCAATCTCCAAAAAGTAATTTGAGAATTACTAGGACTTACAGCTAGACGTGATATCAGCTGTTGCCAGGCAGAAAGGGGTTTGAGAGAGGCACAGAGATGTCAGGAGGACAGGTAACTGGATATGGACCATTAGAGCAATGGCCTGAGAAAACCTGGGGAATCCCATAGCTAGGAGGGCCAACTCCCTTGGGATGGCTGGATTCTGATCCAGGTTCTGTGCTGTCACATGTGACTTGTATAAATCACTGCTTCTTTCTGGGTCTCAAGTAATATAGCAAAGACAACAGTCATGATAATAGTTTCCATTCACTGTGTACCTGTTACCAGTTCTCAGCCACTGTTAGTAATTACTGTGATAGTTATGTGCTGGGCACTTAAGTAAACGCTAAACTCAATCTTAATTCTCAGCAACCCTGAGTCAGATACTTTTTATTATCCCCATTTCACATAAGAGAAAATTGAGGCTCATTTTGGCAAGTGACCTAAGTTATTACAGCCAGTAAATATTAGAGTCAGAATTTGAACCCAGGACTAGTCTGGTTTTAGAGTTTGAGCGGAGTACCATCTGACCCCCTTCTAGAGATACAATTTGCAGGGAGAGGAGGTGGGACCCTCTGAACTCAGGCCACCCAGTGAGTTTCACGCCCAGGGCAGGCTCAGTGTACAGAGAGGGTGCCCCCTCGTCAAACCCTTGTCTGATTTTTTTAGTTCAGTTACTTCTTCAGAACTGGCTGGGCCCTGTGTGCTCAGGCCATTCCAGACTTGAGCCTGTTTCGGACCCTTCTGTGAACACTTCTGCCTGGCAACATTTGCATCATCATTCCTCCTAGTTTTGGTTGGCTCTAGACTTTGGCCTTTTTTTTTTTTTAATTGAAGGAAGCAGTGGAAAGGAGGAAATGAAGAGGTGGCCAACTGGTTCTCATCTAGAACCCAGGGGGCAGAAATTTAAGATGCATAAAGAGGAAGGAAACCAGATGCTAGCGTTAACTCACCTGAGAATAGTAGCCAGTGTTGCTTATGAAGTGCTAACTATGTGCTACTAAAGGAAGTGAGAGCTTTACCCTCATAATCTTATTTAATATAGCAACGCTTTGGGTAGATGCTCTTACCTCAGTTTACTCAGAGGTTGACTTTCCCTGGTCCCTGAGCTAAGCGAGCGACAGAGCAGCTCTAATCCAGGTAATGGATCTCATCTTTAATGTGGCTCTCTAGATTCTTAGGCCTTATGAGAAGCTGAAGTTCAGAAAAGGAAGTGACTTCCCTGAGTTCATATGGTGAGAGGCAGAGCTGGGACTAGACTGGGTGTGGAGTGAGCATGTAAATAGTGTACTGGAGACCTCGAACTCAGGCAAGACCCCAGGCTACCCTGTTCCTTGGAAAGACCCAGAAGTGGGATTTGTTTTCCCTTCCTGTATGGTCTCCTCTTTTCCACAGGGTTTTTGCTTTTTCTTTCCAGAATAACAATCTCTTGGGCTGAGCCTAGGCCTAGAGACAGAGGACTGGCAAGCAGAAAGCCAATGAGTATGAACTGTGTCTGTGATGCCATGATTACTAGGCAAAAGTTTCCTAAACCTGCTTGCTGGGTTGCTGGAGTTTCCTAAACCTCCTTGCTGGGTTGCTGGAGTAAAGAGGGTATAGTCTCAGCCTGTTTCTAATGGGGTCCTAGTAGTCCCACCCCTGGATTGCGGTGGAAGAAAACAGGTCAAGAACATTCAGGGTCCTGGAGCAGAATCCTTACATCTCCCATACTGTAACTTGTGTATGTGCCCCCAAAACTGCACCCAGGGCCAACAGCTGCTGGGGCTCCCTGAAGTCTGAGGCCGGGTCACCCCTCCCTGTGCAACCAGAGAACAAGAGAGATTCTCCCAGGTCACACAGCTCGGGTACCATACTCCTGCAGAAATCCCTCTTGAGTGGATTTTACCATTTGAAATATGTCTGTGCCCACAGTCAGCTTATTTCAAAGAAAACTACCAAATCCTAAAATGGCTCATGTGACAGGCCCAGAGAGGGGCAGAGACTTGCTCAAAGACACACAGCATCTGGGGCAGAGGATGTGCCTCCAGTAGCGGTAGTACCTGGCCCTGCTCCAGCCTGACATTGTCTGATGCCCCTAACCCAATCCCAAAATGTCAAGGCCTCGCTTCTCTTTTTCGGGTGGGCCATAAGCTCTATTGTCCACGTCCCACTTCCTTCTCTTCTCTCTGATTTCACTGCAGGGGTTGGGAACGTAGGAGGGTGAAAACCCCCTTCCCTTCAGGGGCCCGGGGAATGTCTTTAAGTTGCATGTCCCTAACGCACTTGTTTGTGCTTAGTGTTTGTTAGAGGTAGCTGAGGGGCGTGGGTGAGTGGGCTGATGGAAGTGGGGGGACACATTCCCCCTCTCCCAGCCAGTCCTTGGAGCAGCCACCTCCATGGACTCTCCTCTGACTTGCCCTCTCCCCTCAACAGAAACTGCAGCCGAGGAGCCCTGTACACAGGCTTTTCTGTCCTGGTAGCTCTGCTCCTGGCTGGCCAGGCCACCACCGCCTACTTCCTGTATCAGCAGCAGGGCCGGCTGGACAAGCTGACGGTCACTTCACAGAACTTGCAACTGGAGAACCTGCGCATGAAGCTTCCCAAGTGTGCGTTCTCCATATCCATCCTGACTCCCCCACTGTCCCTCACCTCAGAGATCCCATTCCTTCTCCTAGCTGGGCCCGCTGTCCTCGCCCTTGGGTCTGGAATTCCAGCCCCTTCTCATCTGGGTCTGAGATCCTGGTCCCCAGTTTTAGAACCCTTTTCCCTGGGCACTGGGACCACACACACTCATGCTATGTCTTCTGACCCTACAGCTGCCAAACCTGTGAGCAAGATGCGGGTGGCCACCCCCATGCTGATGCAGGCTCTGCCCATGGACGGCGTGCTTCAGGGGGTAAGGACAACCCCAGGGCCGTGGAAGGGGAAAGTGTTATCTAAGCCGGAGGGCAGGTGACAAGGAACAGGGGAGAAAGCTGACCCAGGAAAAGCCCAGCTGGGCAGATGTCCTGACTACTGGGGGACAGGGCCCACCTCCAGAAGAATCCCAGGGCTAGAAGGAAGCCTCTTGGGGCCATCCCTGGGAGGAGGGCCCAGCCCTCCCATTTACAAGGTGCTTTTCATGTCCCATGGCATCTCAGTTCCCTCCTATTCTTAAAGCCCTTACCATATATAGATAATGTTGCTGTTCATAAAACTATCCACTGTCCACAAAGCCCTGGCCAGGTAAGTATATGCAGTTTTGACCAATAAGGACCCTGAGGCAGGAAGGAAAATTGACTTGCTCACGCTCTCACATTTGGAGGTGGCAGAGATGGTCTTCTTGAGCATCTGGGACTGCAGACTCCAGTGGCTGCCTCTGTGCCAGGGCCCCTCCTCCTAACCCCCACTCCTTCCTTCCACAGCCCATGCAGAATGCCACTAAGTACGGCAACTCGACACTGGACCATGTGATGCACCTGCTCCTGGTGAGTGGGGCCTGGCCGGGTGGCCCTGCCTGTCTGCACTGTGTCTGGCACACAGTAGATATTCAGTACGGCCTCACTGGATTAATGAAGGAATGCGAGTGGCCCTGAAATGTTATATGTACTTTAGTCCCACCGCTCCTCCCTTTTTTGTTTTGAGATGGAGAAACGGAGGCCCAAACCCTGGAAGTGTCTTGCTCAAGACTCATTTTTTCCTTCCCAAGTTTTTATTGTATGTTTACTCTGTGCCAGGCTCTGGGCCCACAAGGGGGAGCAATCAGACTCAGCTCCCAATCCTATGGGGATCCTATATTAGCATGGAAGACAGACAAGTGACCAGGTGATGAGGGACATGCAGGGGGTTTTGTGAGGAAAGATGCAGAGGGCCCATCCTACCTGGGGGAGGAGTCCGGAAGTCTTCCTGGAGGAAGTAAAACCTGAAAGATGAGTAGGCATCTGCAAGGAGTAGAAGACTGGGGGTTACTGGTATAACTGGGCCTGGAATCTGGGTGTCCCCCATTCCAGCCCTGGGGTCTTATAGCTGTGCTAGATTGCCCTCACCACCTCCCCTCCCCAAGGATCCATCATAGGTGAGGGTCCGAGCTGGGTGCAGCTTCGGTCCAACCCTCAGAATGGAATAGCAGGGAAACGTGGTTTGCACATTTCACCTCACCTGGCAGGGAGCTCTTTTTAACCTTCCTTCCTGCCCTGCTGCCCTGCAGAAGTCTGACCCCCTGAAGGTGTACCCACAACTGAAGGGGAGCTTCCCAGAGAACCTGAAACGCCTTAGGAACACCATGGAGGGCCTGGACTGGAAGGTCAGTAGGCTTCCCTGCACTGGTGCCCTCTCTCTTGATATATCTAGGGCAGGGCTGGGAAGAGGTGAGGTGAGGGGTAGGCTGGGGAAAGCCTGGGAAAAGGTGGGGTCAGGGGGTGTGCTGGGGAAATCCTGGGAAAAGGTGGGGTCAGGGGGTGTGCTGGGGAGGCCATTCTTGGAAAGCTGGAAGAGGCTTACCAGAACTTCCAAAGCCACAAACACAGAAGTGCTTGGCATAGAGGTACCACCTTGACCAAGCCCTGTGGGTCTCTAAGGGGGAACCAGGCTACAGCTGGACTTTGGGTGTAGGTGCTCTGCCAGGCCCTCCATGTCTCTGTCCCCAGGGGCAAAGCCAGGCAGGGCTAGAGAGAGCTATTGACCCTGACCCCCCGTCTCTGCCCCCATTAGGCCTTTGAGAACTGGATGCATCAGTGGCTCTTGTTTGAAATGAGCAAGAACTCACTGGAGGAGAAGCCCAAGCCCACTCAAGTTCCAACAAAAGGTACAGGGAGTTGGGAGTCTTGGGGTGCTAGGGTTTCTGAGAGCTCCCCCAGAGCTAGAGGTTAGAGCCTAGAGCATTCCCTGACCCAAGCACTGGACTCTCCAAGCCTCTCTCACCTCTCCTGTCTCTCTCCTGCATGTTCCTTCTGGGCTTGGCTGCCCCCAGTCCCATACTATCTGAGGGCCCACAGGGTACAGAGGCCTCCCTTCAAGAGGTGACCTCACTTGTGGAGGATGGCACTGAACAAGTGGGCCTGGAGCGGAAACCATCCAAAACATCCCAGGAGTCATCACAATGACCTTCTCCACCCCCAGGGGGAATTCCCCAAGATCACACAGACAGCGTGCCAGATAAGAGGGCCTTGGAGTTTTTCCATCTCATGTATACTAAGATTTTTAGCCTTAAAGTCTTTAAGAATGCCTGTTTTAATCCTGGTGATAATTTGTCCTGCAATTTTGGGCGTCTCTTCCTTCTGGGCTTCAGTTTCAGAAGTGGAAAATCAATGGCCCACCCTGTGTGGGCCTCAGATTTTTCCATCATATTCACGGAAGTCACCTTAGATGCTGTCTAAACCAACTTCTAGGTAATGTTTCAATCCCCTCTACAAACAATCCCCTATTTCTACTTGGATAACCCCAGGAATAGAACCTCAGACTTACCAAGGTATCTGTTGTTTTTTCTTAGAAATCAGAATCACATGTGCAAGTCTAAAAGTTTAATAGGCATAGAATGTCAGAAGAAATCAAGTTCTGGGATGAATTAGCTACATAGCCATTCACTTTCTCTTTGATCCTGGACCTTGTTGGTCCAGGCCTCAAATTCCCCATCTGTGCAATGGGTAGAGCGAGTAGTCACTTGGGCAGAAGGCATTAGGCCCACAGCAGTGGTATGTGGACCTCTGGTTCTGCTGAGACTCTGGCCCAGAGCCAACTCACCATGTCTTCACCATGCCTGTCGCTTCAGTACTGACCAAGTGCCTGGAAGAGGTCAGCCGCATCCCGGCCATCCACCCAGGCATGTTCAAGCCCAAGTGTGACGAGAATGGCAACTATATGCCGCTCCAGTGCTATGGGAGCATCGGCTACTGCTGGTGTGTCTTCCCCAACGGCACCGAGGTTCCCCACACCAGAAGCCGCAAGCGCTCTAACTGCAGTGGTAAGCAGTGGCCACTGTGCCAGGGATTATCAAAGGAGCAGGAAGGACCCGGAAGGCTGAAGGGCAAGAGGTCTCTCCTGGCACATGTGGCTATGACACTTGAGGTGGCAGCTCCCTGGGAGGCAGCCAGCCAGCCATGCATCCACCCCTTTGTCCAGCCCCCTACGTGTGCATTCCTTATCTGTTTGTCTATCTACTTCTCTCCTGATATCCACGCTCTTGTACTTATTCATTTATCCTTTAATCTTTTCATTATTTTTTACCATCCATGCACTATCCACTTATGCATCCAGAAGTCCTACAGATCCATTCATCTCATTTCATCATCCCCTTCATGGCCTTCCTCTCAATTCCCCAACTACACTTCATGGCTACCATTCAGAAAGCATCCTCCCATTCAGAGCCTGCCCTCCCAGGATAGGTCTGAGGCCAGGTTGGGAAGAACCAGTCTCCCTTACGGCAGCTGGACTGCAAGTAACAAATAACCTTGCTACTCCTTTGCAGAGCCAGTGGACATGGAGGACCTGTCGTCCGGGCTGGGTGTGACCAAGCAAGATCTGAGCCAAGGCAAGGGCGCCTGCAGGGGGGATGCCCAGCATGGCACAACCCTGGTCCATTCCCCAACCTGAGACGTCCCTTTCGTAGACGAGGAACAGGGGTGTGGGTGGGTCAGTACTTATACCCGAGCAGGAGGCAGTGGAGGGTGGAGAGTCCTCGATGGCTATGAGGCCCCAACATGCTGGGAAGAGGCAGGGATAACAGGTGACTCCAAACCTAACTTGCTGCTTCTCTTTCCATAGCCATCATGTGAGAATAGCAATTGAAGACACCGGCACCCAGCCAGCCCTGCATGGCCAGCTTTCTTGCTCCCCTCTGTCCCTCAATCCTAGCCCCATACTCCTCCCCTTATAGCCCCTCCCCGCACTCCCTCTCACCCTGCACCTCAGTCCATGAGATTGGCATCTGGCTCTCCATCATCCTTGGACATAACAAAATTACATCAGAACAAGACACTTAACGACGCAGGAGGGCCTTGCTGCCCAACCTCCCATCCACCAGCAGGGACGCAAAGACCCAAGGAGGTGGACCATGAGCTAGGCTACTTCCATTTCCGACACCACAGCAACCTCCGACATGGAACCCCAAGATCTAGACCAATGGACAAGGAGAGAAGGTGCAGGGAGAGCAGAGGATGCTCCCCTAAGCCCGAGGGCCCAACACATTTGTTGTCCCTTCCATCCTGGCTTTAGCCTTGGCTTTCCGGCCAATGGAACTGGGGGCCCAAGTCACCCTTTCCACTTCCCCAGCATCACTTGCCAGGAAGAACCTGCCTCTTCACCCTCAACCCCTCCTCATTGTGCCAACCCCCAGTTCCCTCTGCAGCAAGCTTGTCATCAGCCCTCATGGCCGTGGCTCCTGTGAAAATAAAGGTAGTAAGTAGAACACTTCTGGCTCCTAGCTGTTCTGCTGGATCTGGTTTGTTTACCCCAAGGAGGTGACTGAAGACTTCGAATCCCGTGGTCCGGGTGGGAGAACGCAGCCCAGGGAGCCCAACCACAGATGCCTGTGGTGACAGGCAGGGCTGGGGTGCTGATATCTTTGGGCACAAACACATTTGGTTTCCATGTTTAACACAGGAATACTCTGCTTCCAAAAGGAAGGAGGCTCCTGCCCAAAGTTTTTTAAACACAGGCTCCTCTTGGTCTTGCTTCCATTTTCCCACACCCCCATTTTTATTGCTCTACTAAGAAGTGTGGCGACAGATGACAGCAACACAGGACCCCGACAATTGTTGCCAGGAGGGAGCGGGGGCTCCTGCTGCCAGATTTCTTGACTTTTCAAGAGGAGACCCAAATCACGATGTTCAGTGAAAACTCCATTGCAAAGAAGCCTTACAGGACACTACTCTGTGGCCTCTGCTCTAGACCCGCACTCATGGGGAGAGAGAGGCTATGTGAGGGCCTTGCCCAAGGGCCCCGAGTTAAGGGTTCAGCCAGATGCCAACCTGGGGCTCCAAGACCTCCCTAGCACAGTGCTTTTTCTGCACAGCTTCTCGCTGTCTCTAGCAGAGGCTAAAAACCTTGGAGAAAAATCTCCACGACCTCAGGTGCTCCACACTGCTCGGGCCTCTGCATTATTGACCTTCACCAAGTCCTGTAGACAGCACCTTGACATATCTTTCAAGTTCATCCACTTCTTGCTCTCATCATTACCAACCTTTGTTACCTGGACACGAGGGCAACTCAGTCCTGATTGGTTTTCCTGCCTTTACTGTGCCTGCCACAGCTATTCTCTACCAGATACCTCAAAGGGCCCGCCCCCATCTCCAACCCAACTCCAAACTTCAAAGGCCCCTCTTCCATTTCTGGCCTCTGAGTATTGCCTGGCCTACCTCAGCATCTGGAAATCAACCACAACCATGCTTGAGCTCCCCCTTAGCTAAGATGCCACCTTCTCCAGGAAGCCTTCCCCACACCAATTCACTCTAGACACTTAACTGAGGCAAACTGTCCCGCTCAGCACAGCATCCCAGAGCCTCCATATACAGTCGTCGAGAACATATCCTGGGCAACGGTTTGTCAGCCAGACTCTCCCTTCCAAGAACAAGTCAATTGCAAGACGTCTCCTCCCGGTGCATTGGGAACGTGACCTTTCCTTAAAGTCTTTTATTTTCTTAGTTCTTTTTAAGGAAAAAACAAAAAACCAAAAAAACACAAAAAGGGGGAAAAAACTGACAAAAGGAGGACAAAACCTCAGTGTAAGCCAGGGACCGGGGACATGGAAGGAGTGACAGGCTGGGCCTTACTGGATCTGCAGGGCAAAGAGGTGGAAAGTCCCGAGGCCTCTGGGCATGTTTGGTGTGAGAAGGGAGGGGCAAGTCACTTAAAAAAATATATATATATTCTGTACACATCTATACGAAGCATCCTGGGTCAGGAGAGAAGTCAGGTGCAGGGTCAGTGAGTGGACTTCCTCCTCTTCCTCCTCGGGCCAACCTCAGCAGGGCTCACGGGCTGGGCCAGCACAGACACTGCAGCTGGTCGTTGTCTTCTGGGGAGGAAGGTGAAGTTAAAAATTCAATTGCAACCCATGGTGAGCAGAGGCATGGGGTTGGGCACCACTTGGCTAAGAAGTCACTGGGGGAAGGAAACACATCTAGATGGAAGATTTCCTGACCTTTTTCTCCATCAAGGAGAAATAAATCAAAAGCTGGCATCTCGATGCAGTGGACAAGCATTAACTAACCACAGCAGACACTTCAGTGTGTCCCGGGAAGTGGGCTGAGGGCTTGAACTTCTTTAACCCTGGACACGGGCCCAGGCAGGCTTTGTATTGCCCTCACGCAGGCTGGGTGGCTGCTGGGCCTGCTCAGCAGCTGGAGCACGTAACCCCTTCGCCACTACTCCGGAAGCGCAGGTCCATCAGAGTGGCTTAAGGAAACCATTTTCTTTCCCACGGGCAAATGCCCTCAGTTACAAAACAACACGGAAAAGGAACTGGATAGCAACGAGGGAGAGCGCCAGCTCAAGCCTCCTCACCTACAAAGAGGCGCCGCCCAGGGCCCGCCTCCTAAGGCCTGTGCAGTGCCTGTGCCCGGGGAGCACTTGGTGCGGCCACCGCCATGACTGTGCAGTAGCTCCAGCTCCTGGCATCACCCCACTGACCCTGAGGAACAGAACTTTGTTCTCTAGGCCCCCTTCCCCTTGGGGCCCGCCTACCAGGTCCTGCCGGGCCCCCTGGCCGGGAAGCTTACCTGCCGCCTGGTGCCGCTCAGACAGTTTGCTCTGCTGTCTTCTTCTGTGAGGAGAGAACTGTGAGAGGCTCTTGTACCTCAAGAGTCTCCCCACCTATGCTGCCCCTACAAGGAGGGGACATGACAGCTCCCTCTTGAGAATGAGGGCCCCCCAGAACAGACATTGGGTATACAGGAATCCCCGAGGGCAGGGCCAGTGGCCTGCATGCCCTCGAGAAAGAAACAGAAGCCTTTGCAGCAATAGATGTTCAGCTCTTCTGAACACAGCAGAGGCCCTGCTGGCCAGTGAGAGCGTCATCTGTATAGGGTGCTGAGCCCCTTCCTTCAGGCGAGCAGCCTTTATCACCCATGAAGCAGACGGATGAGTGCTTCTGTGACAGGGCCCGCTGTCAGCTGGGGCATGCCTTCCCTAGGGAATGCTTCCCCTCACTTGAAACCTTTAATAGCTTCTTCAGGCGAGCAGCCTTTATCACCCATGAAGCAGATGGATGAGTGCTTCTGTGACAGGGCCTGCTGTCAGCTGGGGCATGCCTTCCTAGGGAATGCTTCCCCTCACGTGAAACCTTTAATAGCTTCCTCATCCTCCCTGCCCCCTGGGGGTCTCCTCCCTCATCCACCCTAAGGACATCTTTCTACCTCACAGACAAGACAGGGCCATTTCCATGGCTTCCACATGCAGACCTTGTCCTTCCTCAGGGTGACTCTTCTCTAGTGTTACAACTCACAAGACCCCCACCCCCCACCCCCGAGAATGAGAGGGGGCGGGGACCTGGTCTGGCTCCCACCCCTTCCCGATATGCGAAGGATGGGGAGAGCACATTCACGCTGGAGACTGGGTTTGGGTCCCTTTTCTAGCTTGAAACCCCTCAGGAACTCCCTCTACCTTTTTCTTCTTTTTCTTCTGGAATTCTGAGTCAGGGTCTTTGGTTGAGACCTTTTTAGGTTTCTTCTTCTTTTCTTTCTTTTCCTTATCTTTTTTTTCTGAGGGAAGAGAATAAACTTCCTAAACAACAAATATTAACCTGAACTATTGGGGTCGATGTCGGGAGACACGCACAGCAGATCTCCAGGGATCCTAGAACTCCTCCCAGTGTTGGGTGCCTAGCTCTCCCAAACCATGGGGAGCCATGAAAACACAGGCCTTTGTGATCACCTGCCCTGGTCTGAGGGACCAGCCTCAAGATTTCTGCCCCACCCTTGGAACACCTGGACTATTACTATTTTTCTATGTCACTTTTAAAAACATCTACATGTTTAAAAGTCATTTTCTACCTATAAAATGGGAGACATCACCTGTTATACAGGGTTAAATGAAGTCCCACCACATGCAGAGTCTAGCACAGAGCTCAATAAGGGGGAACTTTACCTCTGAGGGGAAGTACCGCTGGAGCACAGACCTGAGAAGCCTGAAGCTGAATGTGCCCGTGACCGTAGGCTACTCGGAGTGAGCACTGTGGGGAGTAGGCCATGCCCTGGAGCCACGGGGTCTTCCTGGCAGTGTTGCCCCAGGTACTCCGGGGTCTAGTTCTGGCTGTGCCACTATCTGCCCCCATGACCCCGGACAAAGCATGTCTCAACCTCTCCCTTCTGTGCTGGCTGAGGGCCCATCCCACCCAGGTGGTGACCGACAGCTCTCAGCACAGGCCCAGGGGAGTGTGGATGGCCACTTACTCTTGTCAGATTTCTTTTTCTCCTTCTTGTTCTTTGGGTTGGTTTGGTCTCCACTGTCAACCTTCGCCATCTCTGGCTTCCCTTCTGGCTTCTCCTTGATCCCATGGGAGGCAGGAGACTCTTTCTCCTTCTTCTCCTTGTTGTTACCACTTGTTGTGTCTCTCTTAGATTTCCCCTTGGTAGTCCTGGGGGCCTTTTCTGGGGAAATAGCATCCCCTCCACCTTCCCTAGCCACCAGCTGCTTCTTTTTCTTGCTTTTAGAGGCCTTGACAACTGCCTGGTCTCCTGACAGCTTCCGCTTGTGGCCCGCCCGGACCTTCTTGCTGCTCTCCTTGGCGGCATCCATGGCCTTCTTTCTTTCTTGTTCCAGCAGCTCCGTCAGGACCTTTACCACCGAGGCCTGGACCTGGGCCTCGCTCAGGGGCCAGGGCTCACTCAGGAGGCGCCGGGTGAGGTCGCTATGCAGTGCTAGTGTTGAGGCTTGGGGGCTCCCAGCCCCCTTCTTCGGCTTTTGGGGCTTCTGAGGTGTGGTGCTAGCCTCTTGTCTGCCTACAGAGAGAGGACTTGTGTCATGGATCTGAGAGACTGGGAAACAGACCTCCCATGGGACAAGAGCCAAGGAGATCCAAGGGCAGGATTGATATCCTCTGACAACAGTACAGACTGGGAAAATGAGGCCCAGTGGTCACTCTGCCCCCACTGAATCGCCTAGCTCACACTTTTTTGCCATCTTATAACTTAGAGCTCTGTCTCCTCACATTAAAATCTCAAATTCAGGTTGGGGATGGGAAATGACTCCAGAATGTTAATGAAAGGGCTTGAAATCTATCGACGAAATGAAAGGTCAGACAGGAAGGAGAGGGTATTGTCTGGCCATGTGTCCAGAACTGGGAGGCAAGAGATCTGGGTTCTAGGTCTGACTACCACCAACTTGCTAGATATGACCCTGCTCCTGCCATGGCCCGTTTCCCTGTTTGTAAAATGAAGGGTCCGATGAACAGTGCGGCCCCCTCTTCTAAACTGTAGATTCATGACAAAAGGGAAGGCCATGCAGCCACTCAGCGCATGCCCACCTACACGCAGCGGGCCCACAGCCCTTCCTGCCCAGGGGTCCAGGCAGCTTGGGGGTGATGGGTATGGTGTACACACATGTGGCAGCTGACTAAGCAGGTTTACTGCCTGCCAGAGCGACTTCTGGTACAGCCTTTGTTTAGAATTTTCCACGCCTCTGCTCTCCTTTGATAACAGTGCTGACTACACGTGTGAAAAAAAACCTCCACAGCCCCATCTAAAATGTCGCCCTGTCGCACCCGCCTCTCACAAAGAGAAGAACACTGGGAAGGAAAGTGAGCAACGACTCCTCTGTTGACCTGGCACCGGGCAAGCTGCAGCTAAAAGCCTAAGGACTTGGGGGTGCAGGACATTAGCATGTGTCCCAACACCATCCTTAACTTCCCAGGTGACGTGGCAGGTCTCTACTCTATCACAGGCGTCACAGGCATAAGGGCTCTTACACACTGGGCTCTGAAAGGTGCTCAGTGGCTTGGCCCTGTTCCACGGTGCAAGGTGGGACTGTTCCCTGCAATGTGCAGTGGGCCCTAGGGTGGGGCCTGAAGCAGCTCTGGCTCCAGAGCTGCGGCGGACTAGGCAAGGTGGACAGGGCAGGCTGGACAGGGCAGGCTGGGCAGAGGGTCCCCAGACAGAGAAAGGCCCGATTCAGTCCTAGCAGTTGGAGGAGTCAGCCAGAGGGGGAACCGAGGAGGGTAGAGTTGGCTCTGGCAACCTCTATCCCTGCAACCCACTTCACTGTTTCCTGTTTACAAATACCCCAGAACACCAAGGCTGGGGAACCCTTAGAGCCATCCCAAGGGTGCCTGCCTGAGATACCTGTCCCTTAGTGCTGGCAGAATCAGGGGTAGCTGATGCCCCAGGTTGGTGACCTGAGCATTTCGGTCTGCCCTCCAAATATCACATGACTATTTTCTATGTGTGCCATGCTTTGACACTGACTGGATGCACCAACCCCTGCCCTATGTGGATGGTTAAGACAGAGGCCCAGAGTGGCCAGGGACCCATCTTAGGCTTGACAGCAAGTCAGCCCATTGCCTGGGCTATTTGCCCCGTGCTGGAGACTTCTCCAAATGTGGCTCTTGCCTTTCATCTGAGCTCCCTGAATCCCTACACTTCACACCATGAGCCCATTTGTTAGGAAGAAAAGTCAACAGGGAAGCTAGAGAGCCAAAGTCTACTCTGCAAGTCAAGGTGCACTTCCTCTAAGGCGGGGGTCTCCCTACCAGGTGCACCGGCCTCCCACAGGCCAGGATGACCTGACTCCCAGGCTGCCCTAGACCATGGGAGCCAGACACCTGGGCGTGGGCTCCGCTGCACTTTGATGAGTACCTCCAGGCACGATGCAGGGGTACTAGGCCTCACTTGGAGAGGCCCTGATGTTACCCAGGACCATACTGGTGGGACTATTCCTGAGAAAGAGAAAAAGAAGGAGGCCACTGCTTCGTCCCTCCATATCTTGCTGTGTCCTTCCTGTAGCCCTTGACTCACCTGTTTTAGGGGACAAGGTGCCTGATGTTTGCTGGGGCTCCACTTCCTGCTTACCATCTGGGGCATCTTTGGTGGCCGGAGCAGAGGAAACCGAGGGGTTGGGGGCTGGCTTGGGAATAGCCTTTGCAGTCTGGGAACTGGATGGAGTTAGCCCAGGGGTCACATAACCTGAGAGGAGAGACTGAAGAAGCCCAGTGTGAAAGAGGCTGTGACCCCACCCACTCAGCCCTTGAGTCATGGCCTGCTGTGAAGGCATCAGCCCAGGGATGCCTAAGATCGGGCCAGCTCTGTTGGGCTGGGTGGTGGGCACATCAGGCACATCAGCCCTTTGTATGTACCTCTTGCACTATTTTAATTAATACATATTTTAGACGGACACACTTAAAAAGAAAATTTCTTATTACTAATGCAAATGGAAAACCACTACTGCTTGACATGTACAAAAACCCCATCTGTTAAAGAATGTGTTTATCTGGGAATCACCTAAAATCAAGGTGAACCCTTTCTACAGACTCTAAGAATTAGCTACTCATGGCTTCATGCTGAAATGGGGCCTCGGAAGAGGAGACAGCCTGGCTCCAGGAAGGCAGGACCCTGCTTAGGGCCCCTAGGAAGAGGAAGGGCCCTGACCCTAGACCTGGGGGGTGGCCTCAGCCTAAGGCTATATCAGGTGGGAGGAGCCTGGCCTGAGGCACCCCACCCCCACCCCCAGTTGCCAACCCACCTCCCTGCAGTTACCTGGGAAGGTGCCACCACCTCATCGTCACTGGACTCTGCTGTGGTCTCCTCCACCAAGGTCTCCTTCCTGGAGGGTGCTGGACCTACTGGAGGAGCACAGGCATCCTGCAGAACCCTTCATGAGGGTCCCCAGGATGGCTGGGGCCCTCTGAATGTGCCTCACCCTCCCGCCCAAGGCTTCAGCTGCTCCTATTGCTCCAAGGTCGACTGCTATTCATGGCATTCCAGGCAAGACACCTGAATGTCCAAACCTTCCATTCTAGCTGCCAAGGTCCGCTTACACTTCCCTGCTTTCCCGTGTGTGGTGGGGTGGCCCTGGAATTTTTGCGGGGATCAGCTATGCGAGCCTAATTCCAAAAAGCTGGGAGTGGTCAAACAACAGTGTCCGAGGCATGTGGATCAGCTTCATGGGGCTGTACAGGTGGGAAAACTGGGACCCAGTGTAGGATGACCAGGCCAAAGACGCAGAACAAGGGGAGATACAAAGCAGAGAGAGGCCTGAGCCCAGGGCTCCACCAGGCTGCCTCTTCCCCACTGCAGGCCCACCCAGCCTTTTTACCCTGGGACCCTCACCCAGCCTGGGGGCCAACGGGGCCATCTGGGGCCTTTTAGCATCCTCCTTGCTCCCCAAAGAGCTGCCGCTGCTGTCACTGTCATCTGAGGTCCCAGAGGCCTTGGCTTTGGTGCGTCCCGAGGGAGGGGCTGTGGCCCGCGGAACCACAGGAACCTCGGGTGTTCTGAGCTTGTTGGTCACTTTGGCCTGCGAAGGGGTGCTCTTGGGACTTGCCGCAGGGAGTATTCCCAGAGCACTGTCAATCTAATTTGGTGAAAGGAGAAAAAGTGGAAGGAAAAATTAGTGGAAATAAGATCTGGGGCTTACTGAACACCTCAGTTGAAGGCCGGGCGCTGTGCTAGTCGCTTCCCACGCAGGCCTCATTTAATCCTCCCACAACTCCCTAAGAGGGGCAGCCGAGGCCTAGCGAGGAAAGTGTGCACGTGTGCTCAGGTCGCAGGGCAGGAAAGTGCTGGTGATGGGACTCGGGCCCCTGTCTGCTGTGGTCTTTGATCACTGTCCCCTCTAGGGTAGGGCCTGGCCCCCCTGGCTCCCCAGCTCACCCCACTTGAAGACGGGGTCCTGGCAGCAGGAGGCTGAGCCTCACTGGCTTTCTGAGCAAGGACCTTCAGGGCAGCCTGGGTCAGCGGGAGGTGAGCCAGATTCCTCTTTGTCACCTGTGAACAGCCAAAGGCAGCCCTGAGACTCCTGGGTTCTCAGGGGCCCTTTCTGCCATGCTCTGGTCAGATCCCATCTGCCTGGGATGGGAGCGGACCTGGATCTGCAAGGAGCCATGGGGCTGGAGTGAGGACTGAGGTGGTCAAAGGGGCCATGCCACAATCTGGGCAGAAAACGGTGCCCGGCTTTAGGCTATGATCTAATCACATCATTCTCAGAAAGCCCCAATACTTCCAGCCCTGGGGAGGGAAGCATCCCAGGCCCCACCCAAGGCCCCCCAACTCAATCTGAACCTTCATGAGGTATAAGTTTCTAGCCTGGTGGCTGCAACAGCCATCTCAACAGTCTCCTGGGTGCCACTCCTGCTTCCCAGACCCACAGTCAGGGAGAGAACTGATAGAGAACTGGGAATGACTCCTCGCAGAAAACCTCCCAGCCCCCAACTGCCCTTCCTGACCACGGCCTTTCAGGCCTGACCTCTCACCCCACACTACTCCCTCCAGTTCTGACCCCCAAGGGCCTCCCTAAAGGGTCCCCAGCCAGCTCGCCCTGGCCAGACTGCTACATCTGCTTCCATGTCTCCTCCTTGGGGAGGCCATCCCTGCCCGTCCTTCCTAAAGCAGCTCACCCCATTATCACCAGTTTATGTTGTTTCATCAAAGCACCTACCAGTTGGTGAGTACTTTATTTTTTTGGTTTCCCTTTTTAGTGGCTGCCACCTCACTGGGGAACTCCACGAGGGCAGAGACCTCCCTGTCTTCTTCCTGCTGTATCCCCAGTGCCTGACACGGACAGATGCTCAGCACCATCTGCTGGCTGAATGGCTGCAGTGACCACAGCCTAGATACCCGCCCCGGCCTCCCCCAGCTCTCTCCTGCCCTCTCAGAAAGAAGGGGTGAGGAAACAGGAAAATGAACTGATAGGACCCAAAGACCACTGGACTGGGGGCCACGAGACCTGGGCCTGGCCCTCCCTAATCCTGGAGAAGTCTCAACCTTCTAACCTCTGAACAATGGGCCATTAACTGTGCCCTGCCCAGTTTTTAGTTTCAGGCAAGGACCAAAATAAAAATGCACTGAAAATGGTAAAGGCTGGGAAGATATTAAGTCACTACTAGTATGGTACACTAAAAAAGGGCAACTTTTACTCACGGCATCTCAAAACTGGGAGGAAAAAAACAAATCAAAAGCCTAACCAACCATGTTGGAAAAGCTGATGAGGGACTCATGGAGTAGTGCTGACTCTGCCTGGTGCCATGTCCCCAGGTGACTGTTCCTGCCCACTCAAAGGTATCCCAGGAGCTCAGATCCGAGTAGAGCCAGAGGGCAGTAGAGGCTCTGGCTGTGAGGGGCAGCTAATCTGGGAGGGTAGGTGAGAGCAACTGCAGTCCCACCCAGTGGCATGTGTGGGTACAAGTGGGGAGAGTAGGGAGTCCCCTCACCCCCACAGGTGTGCACAGTTCTCTCCTGCCCGCCAGGTACCTGAGCGGCTGGTGCCTCCTGTTTCTTGCCTTTTGGCACTCGACTGGACTCTTCATTGCTGCTGGCCCCAACAATGCTGGTTCTGAGGGCTGTCTTTGGGTGGGCAGTGGGCGCGGCCACCATGTTGGTTTTAATGCCTGAAATGGAGCAGGATGGGGTGCATGTCAGGGCACAGAAGCCCCATGGCCTCCCCAGCAGTGGCAATACCCAATTTATCTGCCCTGGCATGGTGTTCAGCGCATATGCAGAAGCCTGTGTAATGCTCTCCCCAAGCCTTCAAGGCAGGAGCTGTCTCAAGCTCCCCGTTAAAAGGCTCAGGGAGATCACATGGCTGCTGAGGCAGTGACCCTGGCTTTCTCCTCAGCCCCTCCCCCATTTCAGTCCTCCATGATGCTCCCCCTCAGCTGGCCCGGCTGCTACTCCTGAGCAATGGGTGAGAGCACTGGTGCCAAATGAAACTTCCTGTGTATTTAAAACAGTCTCTCATGAGAATCATCACAGCCATCTGCAAAGGCTCAGTTACACGATGCTCACTGTAGCACTATTTATAAAAGCTAAAAATCTGCCCCAACAAAACCCTCAGCTTTGTCCAACATGGCACTGGCAA